TTCTAGGATTCCCCTGAAGTTACCCATTTATGTTTCCCTCTGTGGTAGTGGATTTTAAAATCACACATCTTTTCTGTTATTTCTAGTTAATCACTATGGAAGGGAGAGCTTCCACATGGGATCAGTTTGTCCTCTAGAACAAGAGTATAAAGAACATTTGTTTCTGTGAATTTATTTTATGTAAAGGGCTTATAAAATATAAAATTTAAATTATTTAAAACTCTCTTAATAAATCCTGCTTATTGAGAATAACAAAATTACATGCAAAGAAATACTAATTTCAGCAAAAATATATGCATCAATTAATAAAGCATTTAAATGATTAAAACTGGGATTTTTTTCTAGCTTTATATATATAAAGAAATACCACAGAGACAAATTGGATTGAGCTGCTTTTGAGAAATCAGACAGCTATTGATTGGGCAATCGTTGCTATGGTTGACTCCATGGCAACAGTTGAGATGAAAGGTGAATACAAAGGGGGAAGAGAAAGAACTTAGGTGAGAATCCCAAGTAAAACCCAGAGAAAAGAGAAAGAAGAAGGGTCTCAGGGGGACTTCTAAAAAGATTTGTCACAGGTTTAAGAGGAAGACTGGAGGATCAGTGAGCTCTATATAACTACTGAGATGGAAAAAAAAATAGTACCATTTTGAAAAGAACCATGGATTGATATTTGTCTTCAACTTACTCATCCATTATAATAATTACTATTACTTACAATTTTACCACAGAAATTAACATGGACTGTTTGAGAAACAAAGGTAAACTATGACCGTTGTAGGCATGTAAGGATATTAATTAAAGTGGAAAGATGCCCTATTGCATTAAAGAGTTTATACAAATTATTTTATCTGATTAGTGTGAGTTTAAGACAGATTGATAAAAAGTTTGTAGCTTAGTTAAAAAAAAAAAACATTGACAGGTTTCACCATACTTGTAAGAATGTTTTATTTATTTACTTCTCCATAGCAGTTCAGTCCTTCACTATATAGTTGAAAGTATTAATTTAGAGGTTGTCTATTAAGTCTTTTTTAGTAAATTAAAAGCTAACACGTAACCTATACCAGAAAATGAAGTTTAATTACTTTAAAAATTCTGAATTATATTATTGGAACATAAATGCATTTATATAACTTTTAAGTAATTACAATAATATTAGTAATGAATAGTAAAACATTACCAAAGATTCTGTTGGATCTAAGTTAATAAATGAATTAAAATTATAATTAGTAGCTTGTGAGCAAATGGTGCTTGAAAACAACAAATGCAAATAGTGCTTGAAAACAATGCCTTAAATATCTCCCATATTTTGTAATTATTAATTAGCAAACTACTCTTTTACAGATTGGATCAAGGAAAGCTTCAATGCAGCTAATGAAATTATCATAAATTTGAAATTAGTCTGGCCTGAATTAATATTCTATTCTAAAGCTAGAAACTTGATTTACATTTTAAATTTTAAATGCTTTTCATTTTCTTTCTTCAAAACCTTTCCTCAAGTCTAACTGTTTTGTTAATAGTCAACCTTTCTCTCCATGAGACACATCAGTAGTAAATCGAATGAAATCAGCATTCTTTTCAACTCTTTGAGAACTCATTTAAATGGCTGGTACAGGAGTTCTGTGCACCAGCTTTGAAGACATTTTATGCTACCAATCTTGACTTAAAATGATCTCAATTTACACAAACTAGGGAAAGGTAAGAAGTTGTATATTTATTGTCAATGATAAGTTATTTTTTCCAATATTAAATTCTAACTTAAATTCTATAAAGAACATCTAACAAAATCTTTAGTTCACTTGAAGGCTGGATGTGTGTTACCTTTAAAATATTGCTATATTCTATGTTTTCTGTTACAGTAAAAAAATTAAACAGTCCCTGAGAAGAATAAGAAAAATAGTAATATGTATGTGTCAATTATATATCTAATAAAGCTGGGGGAAAATGCTAATGGTAAAATATGTGAAACTATAGTACTTCATTCTTTTCTGTTCCATTTCAAATATTATTTCATACCTAGTATTCCTACATACAAAATCATTATTATTATAGATATATTTTATTCTGGCCATACCCAGGTCACAGCCAGGCACAACTGGGGTGGACTCCTGGAGTTCCTAGCCTAAGTGCTTGATCCTGTGCTAGATACTGAGATGTCAACAATCAATATGATGCTATCAGTCCAGTGATGGAAAACAGATATGTGAAAACATAATTTTTATGGAATCCAAAAAGCAACAATGAAGTATGTTCAAAATACTATGGTAGGGCTTCCCTGGTGGCACAGTGGTTGAGAGTCCGCCTGCCGATGCAGGGGACGCGGGTTCGTGCCCCGGTCCGGGAAGATCCCACATGCCGCGGAGCGGCTGGGCCCGTGAGCCATGGCCGCTGAGCCTGCGCGTCCGGAGCCTGTGCTCCGCAATGGGAGAGGCCACAATGGTGAGAGGCCCGCGTACTGCAAAAAAAAAAAATTAATAATACTATGGTAGTGCAAAGGAATAATTTATAAGCCTGAAGGAGTCACAGAAGACCTTCCAGATCCCAGGCCTTGTCTGCTTTCAAAGAAGTATCAACTGAGGGCAATTCTTCATGATTAGAATAATGCAGTTTAATTATAACAATGAGCTGCAGTTTATTGAACTCTTATGTACTAGGCCCTATCCTATGCCAAGTAATTAATGTGCCCTGCTTTTGATATAATTCACACAATCTCATGTCATAGGTATTTTTATCATCCCCATTTCGTTGATAAGGAACCTGAAGTTTGGAGAGGTGAAATAGCCAGTCAAAGCCACAGAGTTCTTCTAAGATGTGGGGATGGCATAGTGGGGACCTGGGTCCAACAGGTAATGGCATATAGCAGGGGCCTCATTTAATATGTCAGAGTGTGAATGGTGACTGATCTCTGTATGGGGATTTGTTACATTATGACCAGGTTCAGGGGCGTGGATTACTAAAGGGTGTCTTTAGGAAACTAAGGAAGATAAAAGAAATAAAAGTCAGTCCTGAGGATAGCATCCTAGAGCAATGGCTTTTGTGCAACAGTATAGCTTACTACTACCCCATGTGTGTCTGGATTCAAATCCTGCCTCCATCAATACGGCTTGTGTGACCTTAAGAAAGTTATTTAACCTCTTAACCCTTACTCCTCTTCATTAAAAATACATGAATTATTCTGTGTTAAAACTCAATAGTAACCGCTTAATAAACGTTAAAATTCTTATTATTGACCTCAGAGAGTGGGGTAGGATGAATTGGGGGATGGAGGTCACAAACCCTCAGAAATATTGTGTAAAATTATGTGTGGGTACATAGAATTATAGAGAGGATGGGAACCTATATCTACACACAAGTGTGCAAAAACATCATATTATGCAATAAACTTTAAATCAAGTTAAACTTGACCTCAAGCCCCCATTCTGCCTTGGATGGCAGGAAATCCGAGCTCAGTCATTACTGATACTCTTCCAGCCCCATCCTTGGACAATACAAAGCTTCCTGAACTTTCCGGGAGGCCTACCATGAATGGATTGGCAGGTTGTGCTCTGTACAACCTCAGGGGGACAATTCGCATCTCAAGAGGCTTGACCACATTCCTGAAACAGGAGGGAGGAAAAAATAGAGCATGAAACAACCCACCAATTAACATTTCAATAAATTATCCAGCCACATGCATTTTTTTTTTTTTTGAGGGGAGAAGAAAGTCCATACCTTTCATTAGATTCTCAAAGCAAAGAGGGAGTCTGATTTGATCCAGTAAAAGAGATGGGTGTCAAACCTCTGTGCTCCACAAAGCAGGAAAACATCACATTTGCATTGATTATAGACCCTTTTCATAGTGCTGACACATCTATGAGCTTTGAGTGGCCTCATTATTTTTTTATTAAATTGGGTCAGGGTGGGGGCCCCCCATTCAACCTAAATGCAGATGGGGTCATTGTGACTGAACCGCAATATACACAATAGGTAATAAATTCTGGGAAATGAAATCTGTCATCAGACCCCTCTTTCACACAACAGAAAACAAGATGGGGTATAACATTGGGACTTGAGGCAAAAAAGTCTCCAAGATAAAGAGCCAGAACTGCATTCATTGAGTTATAAAGCATTTGGTTGGGGCGGGGGGGGCTCTTCTTTGGACAGAACAGGAAAGGGCCAGTATTGATTCAGTAAAAAGTATGTAAAACTACTGAACAGAAGACCATGTACGTAATGGAGGGAGTTTGTGGAATACACGATGATTTTGCAAATAAATGTGGACACCTGAATAGCCGCTTCATTATCAGCCTCATCTTCAAATACAGGGGGAGAGAAAGTGCTTTCTGAGGAGTAGTAGAAAAAACACTCAGGTTAATGAAAGTCATATCTGTCATTTTAAGTGCTCATTACAATGGTTATTTTTACCAGCATTTAATTTTTATAAAATTCAATTCATCAGACCTAGATCCATGATTAATCACCTAAGTATGACTAGACAAAAATGGGTACTAATAAACAGTAAGAGAATGTCTAAGTCCCATTTTTAGCACTGTTCTTGCACTAAGTAGTGTCCACTTCTTACATCCCATTGCCTTTGGAAGAATCTGCAAGTCCCTATTTCATGATAGTTCAGTTTAATCTTTTGTCACATTGATTTCACAGTTCTTTAATAATTAAAAAAATCAATGCTTTCAGAGTTCTGACATGTTATACAATCGTACTTTACATTTTTTTATCATCACAAAAATATCATCCATCCATAGAGATAGCTGAAGATCCTTCACTAATGTGCATGGTGTAATACAAAGTATATGAAATTTGAGTTAGATTCAAATTATATACCCTGTTTCTTCATTTGTTAAGTGGGATTACAGTACCTACCTTATAGTACCACAGGTAATATAAGTAAAATGTCAAACACAGTGTCAAGATATGGTCAGTATTGAATAAATAGTAGTTTTCTTCAAAGTAAAAGTACTAGACAACTGATAATGAAGACTATTTTATCTTGTGAGTTCTAGAACTGTGGAATTTTTGATCTGGAAAGGCCCTGGATACGAACTTTTACTTTACAGATGAGGAAACTGAAGACCCGAGGAGGTGAAAAGACTTGTTTAAGGTGAAATATCTAGCTTTCTCATTAAGTAACTGTTTGCTGAATGAAGGAATAACATTACATCATCATCAGAAACCAATTTCCTGTGTGCCAAGTAATGATCTATCTCTTACAAGCATGGCCTATGACCGCGTGTGACAATGTGGAATGTAAAATATGAAAAAGATTGATAAGATCTGTATGTATCTTCTTCTTAAATATATTTTTCATTGAAATTATTGAAATCTATGTATTAATTGCACTTCACACTTAACTAATTTAACTTGTCTATTTAGGTTAAAAATGGCATTGATTTATTGTTCTAATCAATTACCTACTTATACTTTTATAATTATTATATATTACATATTTAAAAAAAAAACTAAGTCACACGTGGCATATTATGACAAACAGTAGGCCGTTTAATTGCTGGTTCATTGTCCAGTCATAAAAAAATAGGATTGTTGGAAATAAATTCATTAGTATAAAATACAGTTAATTCGGCATATTTCTGATGTTCAGAAGTTAGTAAATTTTATTTTCTACTCTATCAGTCTTATCAGATTTATATACAAAAAATACAAATGGTAGATTTCCATATAAAAGGAGAAGGCATTATGATGTATGAATTTTAAAATAGTGGTTTCCTAGAAATTGCACTGAGGCAGTCCTGCCTTCCCGGGGTTATTCAGCAGCACTTCAGCTTATATAATTACCACACTAGCCTGTCTTACAGAGCCCACAAGGCACCCAGATTGGTCACCATGGCAACAGATTCTGAATCAGAGTAGCCCATCCTAATACAGTGCACAGAGCTTCTTCTTGGAAAAAGTTTTTGGTTTTTGTTTTTAATTTTAAACACATTCCCCCAAATTACAGGTATACAATTTCTGAATTTTTGTTCTAGTTTCGTTATAAGTGTAATCTGACCATTAAATGTCTGGGCACACAGTTTCTTGAAAAGCGAAGGAAATATAATGCAGGTATTTAAATACAGATCGCTTTTTCATTCTGGGCACGATTTTGAAAAGAAGAAGATAACATTTCAGAATAAAAAACACCTGAAGAAATAGCTGTGGGAGGAAATTGACTCTCTTTGATCTTTATGTTGCAGTAAAAGCTCTTTTACGTTTATTTTTAAGACTCTTAAAATGCATAGATCTAAGCAAATAAAATACTGTTTTTCCATTAAAATTTAAAAAAATGAACAAACACATGTAGCAAGGGCCACATTTATAAACCTTGTGCAATAAAATTTTCTTTTTATCTATCAAGCAGAGAGTACACAGATTTGCTCAAGATTCCCTGTCTACCCCTGCACCGCCAGGAGGACAGTAAAGCCTTGCAGAGGCTGCATCAGCAGCTACTTTCTCATTTCTTGTTTGCTGTGTGGACAGACATTGCAGCTGTGGTGACTGACGGTAAGAAGAAAGGCTGATGATAATTTTCGCACTTCCCCATCCATTAATTCATTTGAAACTAAAGGTAGGGTTTTCTTCCCTCTCTACCGCCCCCCCCCCAATTAGGAAAGATATTTATGTTTTATTTAAAATTCCTTTCTCATCTATCACCAAACAAGAGAAAGAAATTCACACATAACTCATAGTATATGACCCTGTTTACAAAGTAAGCTCAACCTTTTGTTTGTTTTCTTCTAGAGCTTTAAATTCAACTCCTATTTTATGCCATATTTCCACTTTCAGCCATCATTGATACCAGAGTGACTTGGTTCTTGATGACCTCTTTGAAATGTCTCCTTTTTTCCTTTCCCCTTTGGCTCCATTCTTACTGTGTTCTCTGAAGTATCTATCCTGCCCGAATGCCAGCAGCCCTGTGACTTAGGGAAGAAGGTACATTTAATCCATTCTACAGAGGAACAGATGCTCCCTTCAACGAACGTGGCTGGCCTCACAGAAAACGGGGCTGGAGTTTGAGTCAGTTTTGATCCCCAGAGCTCCTGCTTCAGGGCCCATGTTATTTTCCCTTCTCTTTCCTGTGGGCTTCCTCCTTTGCAGAACAATGTGGATTCCAGTTTCTGCTTTTCTAACTACTGGAAAGAGGAGGAAGGTCAGGAGTGGCCGTGTCAAGGACCCTTGACACGCTGAGGAGGCCCCCTCTATTTCCACAGCCTCCGGTATACTTAAAAATGAAGACATGCCAAAGTAGGGTTGTACTGAACTTAAAATATTTACACTTAGCAATTACTTTTGTAGGAGGAACAGAGGCCCTCCAATGCTGTTAGTGTATCTCTGTAAACATATGTATCTAACCTCATTTGGAAATATAAACAAATGTCTGAATTTTTGGCCTGTAATGAATTTGAAGTCCTGGCCCAGTACCCTCTTGCCTCAGTGGAGGAATGCCCCAACCCCCAACATGAACTTCAGGAGTCCAGAGGACAGTGATGGTAGCAACAGAAGATTTCAATTGGGACAAAGGTGGCAGGTTAATAACAGCTAATACCGTAGAGCATTTACTGTGTACCCAGGACAATTCTAAGTATTTTATGTGTGCTAACATAGTTTGCTTTCTTAGACAGCTACTACTGTTGTCCACATTTTTATACATGAAGAAACTGAGGCACAGAAAGATTAAATAACTTGCCCAAGGTTGCACAACTAGCCATGGTACAGTCTGTACTTTCAAGCACTGTGCTACTCGATCTCTTACTGAATGCAAAGCAGAAACCACAAGGACCAGAGGGGGAGTGTGAGTGTCCTCAGACTCACAGCAAAGGGTGATGTGTGGTGTGTGGTGGTAGGAGCATGACACAATATCAGTAGTAAAACTAGGCGGGGCTCAGCAATGCGGTCCGTTTTGATTCTACCCCCGTCAATCAAATGATGGGGTGGTTGTCCCCAGGGCTGCAGGAGGTGGGGAAACAAGGTTGACCCCTGCACTCATATTCTCTCCCCATAGGCCATATGATGTGTTGAAACCGTAAGTGCCACTTTTCAGTGACACCTGGAATCAGATCTAGCTTCATAGGCGTGTGACTTGGGCAGTTGCCCAGAGCCCTGTGCTCTGAAAGATCCAGCACTTGTGTTAATCCTCTGTTGTCACCATCTTGAAAGTCGTAGTAATTTCTAAACAGGAGATCCCATATTTTCACTTTGCACTGGGCCTTGCAAATTATGTAGCCATTCCTGCGTGGAGTCCTGAGCAATCTGGAGAAGTCTGTACCTCCGATTTACCAGGAGAGACAAGGTTCTATTTCCTGTGATTCCTCTGGAACTGCAGTGCTATAAATCTGCAGTTGCCTGTTAGTGGATTTGCATTTTACTGCAATGTAATGCTTGTCTTCACAGGGGAAAGCAGTCAGCTCTCACTAATAGGGGCTTTAAGGATGTTCTGCCTAGGTCCACGTGCATAGCCTTGAGCAAAAAGGCTCAGGACAGACTCCAGATTCAACAGCGGGGCTAACTACAAGAGAGCCTCTTTGCAGAATGATAAAACATTAACACCTCAGCTAGATTTGCAGCCGGCCCCAAGCAGTGCTCCTGCAGACTCACACGGGTCCAACTGTACAATTTCAGCTCAGGTCCTCCTGGAAATTTCTATTTCCCACCTCACAGTGTTTGTAGAATTTAGCCATGCTATAGTTAAGTCAAGATTTGCCAGAACTTGTAGAGAAAATTCAAACTGCCTCAGTACAAGGAAGCTAATCTGATAAATCCTCCATTTCCTCTCTCAACCCTCCAGCAGTCTGGCACTAGAATAAATGATGGCTCACCAGTGGCGAGTTTCCATGGAATCAGTCGCTCCTGAGGCCTTTTCTGAAGTGAAGGGCAGTGAGCTGATCCTCTGCACCAGGGCAGTAATGATACCAGTGAGCAGAAACTATGTGGGGGTGGGGGGAAGCCAACTTCTCACAGAAGACAAAAAGGGAATTTTGTGCCTGTATCTTTCAGAGGAGCCAGAACCCTCATATTCAAAGAGATATTGGGGAGGGGCTGAATTAATAGTGATGGCCAACATCTTCTAGCATTTACTATGCCCCAGATACCCTTGTAAGAGCTTTACATATGTCAACCCAGTTAATCCTCCCAACAAGCCAACGAGGTAGGTATTATGATGATGTGCATTTTGAAGGTGAAGGACCCGAGGCACAGAGAGGGCAAGCAGTTAAGTCAGGAGAGCAGCTGCGCGGCCTCGGCCGTAGGAGCTACAGGTTCATCCAGGACAATAACAGGCAGCGAGGAGTTCCTGGTGGGGCCGGCTGTGTGTGCAGCTGCTGAGTCTGCGTCCTGTTTGTCCTCACAATAAACCCCCATTAATGAGGGAAGCACGATTGGTCTCCATTGCTCTCGCAACCTGAAAGAGCCTATAGAATACAGATCCTATTGTGAATGCTTTTGTAATTTGGAGGTTTCTTCTTTTTTTTTGTAATAAATGGAATAATCAGCCCCTTAATGTATCCATAGGGAATTCAGGAGAGGGGTGAAGAAGCGGCTCCTGTTTTTGAGGCATTTGCAATCATCGTTGGAGAGACAGAGCCAACAGATGGGGAACAATAGTGAGAGACTCAGGGCTGGTGGAAGCGAAGGGTGTGGGAAATCAGAGAAGGGAAGGTGTTTACTCACTGACTATCAGGTTAAATGGGATGGGGGATGGAAAGAAGAAACTGGGTGGCTTTGGACACATTTCCTCTTTATACTTCACCTTCAGCAACGGTAAAATAAAGCCATAAATTATCTCAAAGACTCTTCTAGGATTTTTCAATGAATCCTGACCTTTTCTGTAAAGCTGGCTTTTTATGTGTGGTATTTGCTAAAAGCAGAGGCACACCTATAACAGATAGGGCCCAGACTGTACATCACATGATCAGGTTGATACAGTTTCCTGACCTCACGTTAGCTCCCAAGAGCATACGTGTCCTGAAGTGTAGCCCATTAGCTTTTCTTGGCTATTCAATTGAATGATTACCCCAGCCATTTATATATATAAACGGCCATTTGTATTTTTCTCTGTTTTTTTGGCCAAAATATAAAAATAGGATATACATAGACTATAGCACTTAATAATATCTTATATGTTTTGATATTTTAAAGAAATAAAAGTTATCACATGGGATAGTCAGTCATCTCACTCATTATCATTTAAATTTCTTTTCTTGGGTCTTTGGTTTTGTATATTTCTTTCAACATTCTAAGTTACTGTAGCCCCCAATAGCTGATTATGATCACTTAACATACAGTTTCAAATCAATGAGGTCTGTGATGGAAATAAAACAAATTCTAAAAACTCATTTTTATATTATATGCATACCATGTTTTCAACAGCAAATTTTTTTTTTTAAATTCAGAACAGGCATGTGGTTAAGATAAAAATTATCTGATGTTCCCAATCATTGAAATGTAGAAACCATAATCAGGGAAGGGCTTAGGAGGTTTTTTTGTGGTATGATCCTTAGGACGAGGTAGCTTTCTCTAACCTGACAAATATTCTATAGAGCCCATAAACTAATTGTTCTTTAAGTGTGGTCCCCAGACCAGCAGCATTGGCACTGAACAAATTCTCAGGTCTCACCCAAACTTAATCAGAACTTTGAGAGTTGGAGCCCAGCAGTCTGCAATGTAACAAGCTTTCCAGATGATTCTGAAGTACCTTAAAGTTTGAGAACCCTTATCATAATTCAGGCTGCCAATAGAATAGAATAAGTCATCAGTTATATTTAATGACTATCTTTACTTACATAGTTCTCCCTATGCCCAGCTGGATACAGAATTTGGACGTAAAATTACAACCCAGAGTACTGGCATTCCTCAGTGATTCCCATTATTGGTGGGGTTTAACATGAACTGCTCTATTTGCATTCAAGGCCTCCTATGGTTATAGACCCAAATCAGGTGTCCAGTGTTATCTTCTATTTCTCCGGTTGAGATTCTTTTTTTATAAATTTATCTATTTATTTTATTTTTGGCTGTGTTGGGTCTTTGTTTCTGTGCGAGAGCTTTCTCTAGTTGCGGCGAGCGGGGGCTACTCTTCATCGCGGTGCGCGGGCCTCTCACTATCTTGGTCTCTCTTGTTGTGGAGCACAGGCTCCAGACGCGCAGGCTCAGTAGTTGTGGCTCACGGGCCTAGTTGCTCTGCGGCATGTGGGATCTTCCCAGACCAGGGCTCAAACCCGTGTCCCTTGCATTGGCAGGCAGATTCTCAACCATTGCACCACCAGGGAAGCCCCGAGATTCTTTTTATTTTAGTAAAATTGGATTACCATTCTCTCCCTATGCCCTCACTCCCTGCCATGAGGGATAGTTGACATAGGTTAAGACTGGGAAGGGCCTTCAGTGAGTGGTGATATTGGGGAGAGCGCATTCCTAGGCGGTGCCACAGTGTAACCAAACACCTAATGTTTTTCGGTTTCTATCAAAATCCTATGTAAAATATCATTTCCTCTATGAAATCTTTCTTGAGCCTT